AATTACCATTCACTGGTATTAACATGCTTTTATTAATTAAAAATATGTAAACAAAAAAGTTTTCAACATCTCGGTACCGTCTGCCTTATGTGAGTCCCCTCCCCCCTGCCCTAATCATGCATTGTTCAGTTAATTACCGTTCTTTCAAGAGCGGAGAGAGGGGAACCAATAAGGATCATAGTGCCTTCAAATTTTTAAAATTTTCTTGGCGTTATATAAATGTTATAAGTACTTCCGGCACTTTTAAAATTTATAAAAAATTTTGTAGTATATGTGTGTTTTAATCTTCGCTTCCCTTATTAATTATCTAATCCTGGCTCTGCAGTCTGCCCCTCCATTCTTTGGGTTTTTTTTAATGGAAAATTTAGTAGGAAAATATAAATGAATGGGTTAAGATACGATGCATTATGCTGTTAATTAGCTGCTAATGGCATCGTTGAGGGAAAGCACTTTGACGAAACATTTGACAGATGGGAGCACGCTTACGTGTACTGCTTTGAAAACTTTTCATTATATACTTTAGTCTTTTCCTTCAGTTGCACTTTGCCAGCTCCATCCTTTACGCCATGCTTTACTACTCTCTCTCTCTCTCTCTCTCTAAATATGTAAGTAATTAAGTATATGTTTAAACATTTGATAATCGATCGAAGTAGGCAATGTATAATTAATGGTCATATATAATATTCGGGGAATTCGACTATTTTGACAAGACATTTTCAAACTTGAATGAAGTTAATTTTCAGAAGTTTCCTCGATCTCTATAATATTGATAATTATGCGGTGTAAGTATATGTGATACATATTACATACAATTGGAATTCATTTAGTTTAAGATAACAACGAATGTATTTTTTTTTTAAATGAAAAAGTTAGCGTCTAAGACATAAATAAGGAACTATAGGTGAATGAATTGGAAGAATCCTAGATAGCTACGAGATTATGATGAAGAAGTTAGTAGGTGAGATATGGTTGAACTTGTATATATTAATCACATGACCTTCAAATTTGTCAAGAAATCGCGTGGTGTGTTCAAATTACCAAAAAAGAAGCTTTAAGTGTCAAGATCAGGCCATAGCTATCAAGCGGATAAGAGACTCTCATTTCCAAGCATGCATGCCTGATGGTACTGACAATCCACCACCATTTTAAACATAAATCAAATGAAAACTAAACTAAACAAATAAACAATAACCAAATATAGTTTTTTTAATAATCCATAGCCAATCATGGGGGAAAATATTAACATCGACATATTGTCATGGTTAACCCCCGAATATGTTATTAACCTTGCATGTGTGCATCTAATACTCAATCCGCTTCATTGTAAGAATTTCTTTTATTTTATTTATAGAAGTACCCTCAATTATTTGCATGCATTAATTGAGTATATATAAGATGCTCCTCCATATAAGATGCTTCAGACATTTTTAACGTATAGGTTAAGACAAAATATTCTATTTATTTAAAAATATCAATATATTTTAAGTATATATACTGTCATTAATGGAATTGAAGGGATATAAATATTGCTATGAAAAATTTAACAATAAATTCTATTTTGTTTCCAATAAGAGAATTCCAATAAAAAATGAAAAAGTGTCTATATTTAATACCCGATTGTACCTTAAATAAGATTGTTTTCAATAAAAAGATATTTATAAATAATATAAAAAAAAAAGATGAGAGTGGTGGCTGTGCACGGGTAAATACCCATTGTAAGAGGAAGATCAATCGAGGACGCCATTTATCTTTGAAACATGTACAGCCTCGCAAGGCATTTGCTCACGTTGCAAAAAAGATATTGAAATAATAATAAGGATAAAAATAGTACAGCATTTGATATTTTGATGAGGCACCTTATAATGTGAATAATTAATTTATTTTTAAAAATCATCTTATACCAAAGAGTTTTTTTTTAATAGCAGTATATTTTAAATGTAACTGAAGAAAAAGAAACGGATGGAAGATGACATTTACTTGCAAGTGAAAAATAAAATTAAAACTAACGTGCTTTGCTTCTAATGTTTATCCGAGGCAAAAGCAAGTCCATTCCATAATATAAACCAGAGATTTCACAAGTTGGGAGTCCTATCAATTGTGGAAGATGAGCTAGCTAGCATGCAAATCCAAGCAATAATTATTGGGAAGCAAATTATGAAAATCCAGGACTCTTTTCATCAATAATGTTCCTTTAATTTGGAATTTTTGGAATATTCTAAGCCGATGCTTCATCCCGAAAGGGTGAAATCCTTTTAAGCCTAGAAAGGAACGATAGGCAAAAAGTTATAGAATTCAAGCTCGGATTGGAATTGAAAAAGTTTGATCCTAAATTGATTCATTCTCTTGAGAAACATATTTCAATCTGTCTAAAAACTAGTTTGATTTATCCATATATAATTATCATAGTTAATGACCCTGTGCTACTTAATTTCAGCTAAATTTTATCATAAATAATCACAAAAAATCACGGCAAATAACTGTATTGTAAAATCATATTTTAGCTCTTAACAAAAAAAAACATATTTTTGCTTTGTTAACTTTATAAGTAAAACATATTTTTAGGGATAACATTATTTATTATATCAATATTAATATTCCTACTTAATTTTTTTTTTGCCAACAATATTCCTTCTTACTTAAAACAATTACATCGCTTATTTAATTACTGTATTTAAAAAACAACAACAATATATGGTTCAGCATGTATTTCACAACTCATATTCTAAAAAAGATGGACTTTCAGTCAAATCGCGAAAAGGTCAATGAGATGATATTGGTGCAACGGGTAGAAGTGGCCACTGAATGCGTAGATGAAAAATAAGAAATATTTAGACTTTTTTGGCCCAAGAAATAGACAGACTTATTAATTAATTAATTAATTTGTGAAATTTATTAAGAAGCAAGATAAGCTACCAAATGGGTGTCGCATAAATGGTTGCGACTTGGACTCTTTAACTATTATTTTAAAGTTTAATTCTCATAGATGCATATGAGGAGGATTGCTCAAAAAGAATAACCTATTAAATGTCGTTCAGATTTCTCAAGGTTTAGTTTTTTTCATTGCATAAGCTAACAGAAGAATTGATGAATTGAATAAAATTAAAATAATGGATACATACAGAACATGCATGAAGCTAGCATTGCGTCTTTCAAGGAAGGAAGTAGGAGTGAATTAAGTAATTATTATGGATGGCTTGGAACGGCCACTTCACAATTTAAAATCAATCTTTATAATAACAAGCAATATAATGTAATTAGTTATATAAATCTTAATTTCCTTAATATTAGGACGTAGGCACGGCTTCTCTTCTCCATTGGAACACATCTCACTTCATTATGGTCCGGAGAAAATCTAGCTAGAGATAATGTCCATGGATAATATATATATATATATATTTTTTTTAATATCCCGTCACTTCACTTATTTTAAATTTTCCTTTAATTGATTAATTATTATATGAACTTTAAGCAATCAATAAGGGGAACTTATATAATTGTAGGGAGAAATTAAATTTATGACTACATACATGAAGAAAATTCTGAATTTAATGCTCATTAAAAAAGATAAATATATGTGCCCGTCTGAGGACTGAGGGTAAAACTTTGGGGGCAACTTATCTATGCCTCTAGATATATATTACTTATTTGTTATAAGTTTTCAACTTTTCTAGAAATTTTATGAAAACTTTAATTTACACGACATATGTTTTCCAATTCTGGATATTCTCGTAATTAAACTCTGAACTGTGGCCAAAAAGAAATATGATCCCCCGTACCTCTGTCTGAGTCTTTTTTTTTTTTTTGCCATATCAAATTATATTGTGTTTAATTTCGGTCAATTAAATTTTTGAATTGAATATATACGATTTATTTCCCAATTAAATTATTCTCTTCAACATGTAAAGCTGGTATGCATTATAATCTATATATGTTGATATTGGGAATGTGATGAGTAAATACTGATCAATTGAACATTTTAAATTTAATATTCTTCTTTATGAAATGAAGTTGTTTTCTTCAGGAAAAAAGCTTTGCGAGTTGTGAATATGTTATATAATAATGTTGGAAACTTTAGATAAGTGATCCACTTATGATATTAGTTGTGGCATATTATGAATAATTAAAAAATTTATACATTTTCCTTCTTTTTTTTTATAAGAACATTTTCCTTCATTTTTCTACAAACTATCGTCAAGTTGAACTCCTTAGTTCGTTGTTTAAAAAAAAAAAAAATTGGCTTGCCAGCTTATGTCAAATATCTGAAAGATAAAGTATAACATTGCTCTTTAGTGCGTATAACCTAACTATGTATTCAGTTAAAAACAAAAACAAAACAAAAAAGTTAACTGTTTTATACGTGTGCGCCTGTGCAGGGTAAAAATTTCAAATAGACGGTCAGGAACCATATAGACAATTTTTTAAGCATGAAAGATATAAAAATTCCAAGGTACAATCACTTTCTCGCCCCATAAATGTATTTATATACTTTAATTTTTACTTTAATAAACAATCACTTTCATCTTGCAGTACATATGCGCATTAAATTAAGTTGATATGGATATGGATTTTTCTGAATCCCTATATATACATAGCTAAAGTTTTTTTTTCCCAAATCAAATTAATTGATACACCATATATATGGAATTCGGAATGGAAGTGAAAGTGATGAAAATTAATTTTAACTGATTTAAATGGAGTTTCATTAAAAAAAAAAAAAGCGCGTGCAGAAGGTCACATAATTTACCATCCCTAAGTTCAAGAGAACCTATATATATATATATATATATATCTCAGAAAATCAAGAGAGAAACTTGTGCGCAACGATTTAAATAAGAATTTGTGTATAAAGTTCAAGAGAGACAGAAGGACAAGGGAAATTAAAATATGGAGGATCCTTAAAACAGAAGCATTTGAATGAATGAAAGGCATAAATAAATGGAAAAATAGGTAGCACAAAAAAAAAAAAAAAGAAGAAGAAGAAGAAAATGGAAGTGCATGGAATGGAAATCGGGGAGGGGGATCGGATATAAAATGAAATCTGAAAAAGGCAACAGAAATTAACACGTCTTAAATGTTGTCAACACCGCTCTCTCCTCTTTATATATATCCTTCCCAAATGCTCGATCTCTCCAAATACTCAATCCCCTGCATCCGCACTCACACTTCATCATATGCACACACACATCTCCGGGTGTCGTCTCTAGCTGCCTCTGATACGGAAATATCAAGAAGCTCGGAGATGGTGAAGTTCTCCAAAGAGCTGGAAGCTCAGCTGATACCGGAATGGAAGGAAGCGTTCGTCAACTACTGGCAGCTGAAGAAGCACATCAAGCGAATCAAGCTGTCTCGACTTCCTTCTCAATCCCCTCATCTTCATCTTCATCTTCATCATCCTCATCAGCCCTCCTTCTTCCCCTCCCTACTGCGCTTCTTCTCCCACAAACCTCCCCCACCGCACGTCATTCAGGTACGTACCCCATATACATGATTAAATGAAGGCTATCTAGCGGGTCCGAATGAATGAAAATGACGACCCAGTGACGTCATCATGTTCCGCCTTGTTACTTACTTTGCATTTGCATTCCCCTTTTTTCAGAATCGCCGTCAAACCACCGTCTTCCTCTTCTTTCTTTACGTTTCTCTCCTGTGTTTCAACTTTTCCTTTGCTCTGTCCTCCTGTTTTGGCTCCCACTTTTAGGCTTTATTTGGGATGGGAAAAAAAAAAAATTAAGGAACAAGATTTATACCATGGATCCGAGGGAAAATGTTTTTTCTTCTGCTTTTCGATCACCTTTTTTTTTATATTCAAATTACGTTTTTAAGACGATATATATCTATTAAGAAAAATTCTGTTAATCAGTGTAGTAATATTTTACATCAGTCAAGACGTTGCTATTTCAAAAATTTATATTAAAAAAACCATATACTAGCCCTGTTAAATACTGCTAAAGGTAATTAATATATAGTATATCATAAAATATGCAGTTACTGGAAAATAGCTCATGTGGTAAATGAGGTGTGACTGATAATAGAGGGAAGGAGAGGGAGAGGGAGAGTTAAAAGAAAAATGGGAAGGGAGAAAGTAAAAGGAATGAGAAGATGGAGAAGAGAAGAAAATGTGAGGAAGGAATGAAATGCGGTTGGTTAGGGGAGTGAGAGAGGTGAAAAGGGCCGTGACAGGCTAAGTGGGATGAATTTCTGAAACGCTTCTGTTTTCTGCTCTGAAGAGTTTCTCATTCCTTGACGAAACCCCGTAAAACGGTTTTCTTTCTTTTTGTGGCTGTGCATGCCACGATATCATCGTGATGTTGTTGAGACCACCACCCAATTAGTCCCTCCGCCTCTTCTCATTTCTCTTTTATAAATATTGATTACATGCCATCATCTCAGGTCAGGAGAAAAATCATGGCAGACTCTGACGACGAAGTCTATCAGACTGAGCTTGCCCAGCTGTTCTCCGAAGAAGATGAGGTCCTTGCTCCTCGATTACCTTTTCTTTGATAAGACGGAGACAAATTCTTGGTCTTCGTCCCAGATTACATTGTGAATGTTGATTGACTGGGTGGTAATTTCAGGTGCGAGTGTTCTTCGAGAGATTGGACGGAGAGCTGAACAAGGTGAACCAGTTCTATAAGAGGCAGGAGAAGGAGTTCCTGGAGAGAGGAGAAATGCTGCACAGGCAGATTCAGATCCTTCTCGATCTCAAGCACCTCCTCTCCGCCGACCGGAATCGGAAACCGTCAAAGCCCTCCGAGACCGCCTCTTTCCACCGTTTTCTGTCCCGCCACCCCAACTACTCCGGTCAGTCACCATCATCCCTCGTCTTTTAAGTTTCAACTTTTTTAGTCCGACCATCTAGAATTTTTTTGTGGACACTAATATGTATATATTCATGGTAATGTAAAAATGGTTGGGTGTGGGTAAATGACTAAATGTGAATAGACTATAGAGTTAGTGGGAATGAGTGGATGTCAACTCATGACTCCAGCAAATTTCTGCTGTTGGACTGCATGCGACCTGTGCTATTTCTATTCTTCACGCTTCCGATGGAACAACGTCGAGCCTCCACCTCTACACCCACAATCTCTATTTTATTTATATAAAAACTAAATCACGTTTCCTCCAGAAATTCTTATCTAGCTCCTAAAAAATCGCCTCTTTTAATTTAAATACTCATTTGATTAATTTAGTTAATATATCATATAAATATTTTAACACATGGTTAAAATTACAAGATATTTCTAAAAATGATTGGTCCTACCTCATATGAACTTAGATGCAAAAGTTAAGTTTCCCCGATTTTAACACCAACGCGCAATGAAAACAAATTTAAATCCAAACGGCCAAATTAAATTAAATTAAAAAAAGTAAAATTAAATTAAATTCAAGTTCAAATTGTAAATATAAAATGAAAAATATTCATCAATTCTCATCTTTATTATCCAAAAACATATTTTTTAATGCTTCATAAAGAGGCTCACCAGCGAGGGGTTGAAGTGTTATATATCTCAATAATCTCACTGTCTTCATCTTCATCACTTAGAATAATTTTTTCACCAAAATTTGTCAGTTTCATATTTTTGATAAAAAAATATTTTTGATAAAACCATACAACCAATTGCATGTACCAATCTGAACTTTTAAATTATCTTGAATTTGTACATTTAAAAAAAAACTTAAACAAGTAATATGAACTTCAATTTTTTTTAAAACTCATGATAGTTAGGCCCGAAGAATTTATATGCGTAGTCAGCCAGGCCCAGGCAATATTATCGCTTATGGTATCTCCAATGGACAGACCTGTACTCTATCTATTTTGGTAATTTCAAACGTCTCAATCGTAGAATTTAATCAGGACGATTCCATAATGATGCTGTATGTGATTGACAACTGGGAGCCACATAAGCGAAAAAGCAGGGGCAGGATTATAAATTTATTAATATTCTATTGCACGCCTGCTCAAATTCAGAATTTAGCTGATTAATCCACTTAACTACCTAATTAATGAGCCTTGTTTGCAATTGTAATTGTAATTAATAATACGCAGAAGATGAATCTAAACTAGAGGCTTCGCAAACAAATGAAGTGAAGGCAACATTGGAGAAAAATGGCGTAAATTTTGTGCATTCGGCTACAGTGGCCAAGACAAAGAACGGCAAGTGCAAGATGGCAATGAGGATCGATATTCCGACCGCCGGGCCTGCACGGGCGATAACAGCTGCGACCTCCATGCTTTGGGAGGATTTGGTTAACAATCCGATGACGGAAGGCTGTGTGGACCTCAATCAAAAAAGAAAAATCCAGTATGCCGAAAAAATGATTCGCGGAGCTTTTGTTGAGCTCTACAGAGCACTCGGCCTTCTCAAGACTTACAGGTTAATTTATTCTCTCTCTCTCTCTCTCTCTCTCTCCTTTTCTGTTTTTGGTATGATTTAATTTTTGAAAAAAAAAAAAATGGGGCGACGCAAAATTGATTTCCTTCAATAATTGAGAGTTGGTGTGATAGTTTCGTTAAATGGGCCAAGATGTCTCTCCAAGCTTCTGAAACTCTTCATAGTGTGAAGCTGCCCCCACCTTCAAACACACAAGCGAACATAATCAATTTGGATTTCTTGATTACTTGCTTTACGTCAATGCTTTTTTTTTTTTTAAATCCCTTTTATTTCCCCTTTCAATTTTACTTATCTTTTCCGCCCTCAGTCTTTAGTTTCAATGCATCAAACGCAAAATCTCACACTTGAATTTTTTTTTTTAAAACGACATGCATAATCTAGGAGATTAATTAACTCTACCGAATACTTGTGAATGGAAAAAAAATGGAAAACCTGACCGAACTAAGGAGCGGTGAATATGAATATTAAAAAAAATATAATAAAATCTCTCAATTATAAAAATAATAATTTAATTTTTTAAAATGTCATAATAATTATATTGAAGTCTTTAAAATTTTTTATATTAATAAATTTTAAATTAAAATTTATCTTTATTAATAAGTTGTGATTTCTTATTCAATTCTTATTATTTTTTGAATAAAATTTGTTATTAAGATTCATTATTTTGAGAACTTTTTTTTTTCAAAAATAAAAATTGCATTTGATAAATTTTGATTTTTTATTTTATTCTTACAATTTGTAGAACAAAAATTGTTATTTTTTAAGTAAAAATTGTGATTATGGGGTTTGTTATTTTTAATAAGGATAAAATAATTTTTTTATTTTAAAATTTATTAACATATAAGTTTTTAAAAATTTCAGTAAAATTATAACATTTTAAGAGATCATATTATTATTTATATAATTTAAAGGTCATCATTTTCCCAAAATAATATGCGGAAATAATTAAAACAATAATAAATAGGTATCCAAGTACTGTGTGCGTGACATTGATTAATCGTTTTTGCTTGATGGCACAGAATTTTGACGAAATGTTTGGGGGGAAATTAAAGCAAAGCTTTTTAAAAAGTTTGGGCAAAATAATTGGAACACAAAATGCTCTTTTTGATCGAAGTTGAACCACTTTACTATTACCTGAAAAGAATTAAAGCAAGCACATCATGTATATGTGAAGCTATCTCCATACACCCGTACATATTTCTCTGCATGCAACTTGGCCACGAAACTCGACAATTCATTCCTCATTTCTTTCACGTAATTATTTACACTGTTCTGGATACATGTTGATTATTAATTTGCGTGCATTTTCCCTATATTATATCTTTCTTTGCTGAAAAATAAGTTCTGATGGAAACCACTCATCTTTGTTTTTGACAGCACACTCAATATGGTAGCATTCTCAAAGATACTCAAAAAATTTGACAAGGTATAAACTTTATGTACGCAATTTTTTATAATACACCCCAGAATTTCTAAACGAGCTATGTAACATGTAAATATATTTTCTTAAAAAAACTATAAATCTCTTCAGTAAAATTATGTACGCAAATTGCACTTGAAGGCTACTAAGCTTCTTACTATGTATAGTGAATGTGATAGTCGCGTAACAAGAGTTGTGCTCCATGATTGAATATGAATCAACCTAACTTTCTTTCCGTCCAAATTATTTACATAACTCTTGAACTAAAGGTGACATCAACCCCAATCTTTTCTTATCCCTCTTCAGAGATAGTGATATGTTATTGCACTGAATCCATACATTTCATGTTAGTGGAGGTGATTGGCAAGCAAAGGTGCATAAGAAAAGTTTGTATTTGAATACTACACATGCCCATAGCCTTAAAGAGATATTTTTAGAATCAAGACTTGTATATTACTTACCAGAGGGGCATTTCAGTGCGAGTTTAATTTCATGTTTTTTTATTATTAAAAAAATTTCCATGGCATTAGAAAATTAAGGATGTGTGTAATAATGGACACGATACAAATAATTTTTGCTTGTGAGCAGGTATCTTGCCAGAAGACTTCAGAAAATTATCTAGCAGAAGTGAAGAGGTCCCATTTCGTAAGTTCTGATAAGGTATACATGTAATAAGCTTAATTATATTTAAGTGGCGTGGTGTTGTGTTAAGGTCATGTTAAATTAGTGATCATGAAAGGAGAGATTTGTGGGTTATATGGTATTCCAGTAAGAGATCATGAGGGATTATTTTAATTTGTGGATTGAAAGGTTGTAAGATTAATGGACGAAGTGGAATCCATATTCACAAAGCACTTCGCCGACAATGACAGGAAAAAAGCCATGAAATTCTTAAGACCTCAACAGCAACACAAAGATTCTCACACGATCACCTTCTTTGTCGGTAATCCTTCTCTCTCAGACACTAGTGAAAGTGGAACATATCATATTTGCTGTACATTAATTAGTAAGCCCTTTTTTTTTTGTAAACTGAGCCATGTTCTTTTTATTGTCCCATTTTCTAGTAAAATATTTATTTTCTTCTGCTTGATGGCCACCACTGTTGTGGGCCCACCTAGATCGTGGACTCGAATTTATTAATTCTTTTGGGGTTTCTAACAAATAAAATAATTGAATGTATATTTTCTCTTCTCTAATAATTAATCTTTTGTCACTGTCGTTAATTGCAGGGCTGTTTACCGGTTGTTTTGTATCGTTGTTCTGCGTGTATGTAATATTGGCCCATCTGAGTGGTGTATTTTCTCCTACTTCAGAGGCAGCTTATGTGGATGCTATCTATCCTGTTTTCAGGTGCTACTTCACATTCTGCTATAAAATTACTACTAAAATGTCCGGTAAATGAGAAACATGATATTTTTTATGTTTCTTTCGTAATAATTTTGTTAAAATAAATTATAATTGCTCTGGAAATGAAGAAATCAACATACCAAAGAAAGTATCGATCTGCAGTATGAAAAAATTGGGCAACATACTTAAAAACCCCACTCTTTCCTCATTTACCCTTGGTTCTAATTAGAAAGTGTAAAACATGAAGTTCAATTTGCATTCTCTTGCTTGAGAAGTTCAATTTCCATTCTTGAGCTTTGAATGTTATCTAACCTCCATAAGACCATACCTTGCTGAATTAAAGTAAACAAAATGATAACTATGATATTAGTGTGCTAATAATGGTATATATGATTGATTTTGTGCAGTGTGTTTGCATTGTTAAGCCTACACTTGTTCATGTATGGATGCAATTTGTTCATGTGGAAGAGCACAAGAATAAACTATAACTTCATATTTGAATTCTCACCAAGCACAGCTCTCAAGCATAGGGATGCCTTTTTGATATCCGCCACCTTCATGACTGCTGTGGTTGGAGCAATGATCATACACCTCCTTCTTAAGGCTGCCGGCCTTATCCCCGGCCAAGTTGATGACATTCCTGGAATTCTCCTTCTGGTTAGTATCATACATATTTACTATTGCTTTCACCGCTCAGTTAGGTTCATCTTGTTCTGTGTTTGGCTTCCCTTTGGTACTTAGAAAGAATGAAGCTAGGAGGATGGTTCTTAATTCTGACTTGTGTATTTGCCTATTTCAGTTCTTTCTATGCTTGCTCATTTGCCCATTTGACATCTTTTACCGCTCAACCCGGTCTTGCTTCCTCCGTGTTCTTCGCAACATTGTCTTCTCCCCATTTTACAAGGTAAATTCCCACGTTAGTTTCATTGAACAACCTGATTCATTGATCATAACCATATATGGAGAAAACTAAAACATTCATTGTTTGATTCAAAAAATGTCTTTTAACAGGTTCTGCTGGTAGATTTTTTTATGGCTGACCAGCTAACTAGTCAGGTGATCTTACTGTAGCATGAAAACTGATCATATTCCATTCTTTTGTTTCCTCTCCTCCTCTAACTCGTGAAGAACATTCAATTATATGTTGTGAATACAGGTTCCATTGCTAAGGAGTATGGAAACCGCAGGCTGCAACTACGTTGGTAGAGTTTTCAAAACATACCCACTTGACACATGCTCTTCTGGAAAGCTATACGTGGAAATAACTTACTTAATCTCGTTCTTGCCTTACTATTGGCGTGCTATGCAAGTAAGACTTGGATTACAGACTTTCAATATTAATTCAATTTGTTGAAACCAAAAATTTATTCCACTCATTGTACCATCAAACTAACACTTCTTGTAATTTGAATGTTACTTCCAGTGCGCAAGACGATGGTTTGATGACAACAATATAGACCATTTGACTAATATGGGAAAGTATGTATCAGCAATGGTGGCTGCTGGGGCAAGAGTCACCTATACCAGGAAAGAGGATCATCTATGGTTTGCTATAGTCTTGGTGACATCCGTGGTGGCCACAATTTACCAATTGTACTGGGATTTCGTCAAGGATTGGGGGTTTTTAAATCCCAACTCCAAAAACCCCTGGCTTAGAGATGATCTAATCCTAAAGAACAAGAGCATATATTACATGTCAATGGTAAAGTTCTCTCTCTAATTTGAACTTTCAGCTTGCAAAACTGCTTCTTTTGTATTGCAAATTTACAATCATATAAATTTTTGTCTTTCTTTCATTTTGAGATCATATAAGAATATATTGGATTGCAGGCCTTCAATGTTGTTTCAAGAGTGGCTTGGGTGGAGGGCGTTCTGCATCTCAAAGTAGGACCTGCTCAATCCCGATTGTTAGAATTTTGGTTAGCTTCATTGGAGGTTATTCGAAGAGGACATTGGAATTTCTACAGGTACTTTTTTCTGCATACCTGCAGTTCTGCAAATACTTGCTATTCAGATTTTCAATAAAAATATGACATTAGGATTTTTTTTTCCTGAGTGGCAAAATAATGAAGAAAATAATTTTTTTACGGAACAGGTTGGAGAATGAACATCTAAACAATGTCGGTAATTTCCGGGCAGTGAAGGCAGTTCCGTTGCCATTCAGGGAGGCAGAGTTTGATCATTGAAGAGATTTTCTAGTGCATGTATATATGTCTCTCAGAAATTCTGACATAAAAAAGAAAAAGCATAAGCTGAAAGGGAAACATGCCTAGAAGAGGGGCATACCTCTTCATTCTTCTGACATGCCAGCTGCAAGACAAGTGTGAATATGAACCAAATTTGTCCACTGTAATGCCAACAGTGCACCTCAAAATGACATGATCACTTGTAAATTGGCCTGATCTAGATCAGCCTTATTAGTCAAAGAAAGTTTTCCTTGGATTCTTCTCTGTACCTTTTTTCCTCTTCTTTCTCTTGTGTTCCATTGAGTTTGAAGAGATTGAAAGATTTGTGTTTGTGTTTGTCTTATCTAGTGTAGCCTCGGGGGAAAAAAGGCAAGAAGAAACAATTGTACAAGCTGCAGCTAGCAGAAAGAAGTTTGATTCTTATGAGAACGCTATTACATTAACCAGTCCTCCTAAGGGCATTTTACATACTCTGCAGTTATTTTCAAGATCCATAGATAGATGCACAGCTTGTTTGTCTAGAAACATGTCTTGTTAAGTGTGCTATGAAGAACTTGAAGACAAATGCAGTAATCTTCAATCTCATCAATTGAGATGTTTCATCATTGAATTAACCAACAAGTCCAGAGGGCTCTTCATCTTCAGCCTTTGTACACCATGACTAGCTCCAACCAATGAATGTGCTGGTCGACCACCTCCATGGAGCAAACCGATGTGCTTAAACTGGAGGATATACGTTTGACTCTTGGTCAACCCTGATTCAACTCTAGTTTTCAATCCAAGACTTCCGAGTGGGCCTAGACAACCTGGACACTCAAACAGCCCATATCCAATTCACATGAAACAGCACCAAAAACTTACATTTTCTAGCTAAAAAGCAAAAAATGAAGCAAGACAAAGACAGTACACTGTTATCAAATTATCAACACAACCTAACAGCAATTAAATTAACACCAACAGCTCAATATGATTCTCTTGCTTGATATTTATTATGGTTTTTCTTTTGCCTGAGAATTTTATTATGGGAAAATGACAATTAAGGACTTTCAAGGACATTAATCTCAATTAAGGACTAGAAGAGTTTGAAATCCCAATTAAAGACTTGGGATAAAAAAAGTATAGTTTGTCTTAAATGCCCTTAAAAAAAAAACCCAATTATGTTGTTTTTACAATATACATTAGTGATTTTGTTACGTTGGGTTAGTGAATTTTCAAATAATGTTAGTAAATTTCACTTCACGTTAGTGGATCTCAATTTAAATAAGTCACTTTTTGTTAAATAATCGATTCTCAGGTGGGGTTTTATTTTTTCACAATATACGTTAAAATTTTTTTCAAATCAAGTTAATAAATTCTTAAGTAACTTTTTTTGTTAAACAATCGATTCTCGAATGGAGTTTTATGTTTTTACAATATATGTTAGAAATTTGTTTAAGTCAGGTTAGTGAATTTTCAAATGACATTTTTTGTTGAACGATCCTCCAATGAAATTTCAAGTTTTTATAATATACGTTAGCAATTTTTTCAAGTTGGGTTAGTAAATTTTCAAGTAGCTTTAGTAAATCATACCTCACATTAGTGAATCTCAGGAGCATTTAAGACAAACTATATTTTTTTATATCAATTAAGGATCATGAAATTTCAAAATTTTATGATCTTTAATTGAGATTAATATTCTTATAAGATTTTTAATTGTCATTTTTTCATTTTATTATGGTCATATGATGGTGGACCCCACAAATTTGTGGAATCAATTTTTTGTCGAGGAGGCGCAGGGAATGGTTACAAAAATGAAGAGAAGCTGAAGGGGGAAAGCTGTCGGCATGGCCAATAATAGCGAAGAATCATTATGAAATTGAAGATGAAAGGTGCGATAAAACAATTTGCGCTCAGCTGGAGTTTCTTCTCTTTGACCATAGATGGAAATCTATAGTGCGCTTCAATATAATATCACAAAAGTGAAACCCTGAAAACCTAATACCCTGACTCCTGAGCTTAACCAGGTGCAAAGTCTGATATGGCATGATTCATCTTTATCCCCGTACCTAGTCTCCTCTCTATTGTAGTATAGTGGAACGGCGCTTTCTCCTTTAAGCTCGTGGCTTGGTAGGCATCTCTATTTCAGGGTATATAGTATTGGGGGTCACGTGAATCTCCATCTTTTACACTCCATGTGTATCAACCCCCAACACAGAAACAAATTAACAGTTATATAGGGGTGAGAGTGGTCCAAGTTCAGATGAAAACTACTATACTCATCTATAGTGACTGCCATTAAGGAGCAGGAATGAAGCAGGTCATGACACAAACCAAACAAAGGAATTGCCCAGCAAGCTGCTACAATGGTACACTGATTGCATGATGGCTAGGAGCTGAGCTTTTAGCTTCTTATGATCAATGGTATTTTAGTCATTTACCGACATTTTATTTCCATTCCTGTACCTTTTCTAGCAACATATCTTGTCAAGTGTGCAATGAAGAACTTGAAGCCATATGCAGTAAGCTTCAATGTTGGGTTTAACCAATTGAGATATTTCATCATCGTCTCCATCATGGCCTCTTGTATGGAAATGTTCTTCAGTTTTCATGGGAGACTCAATTCATTTACCCCACATCTTACGCAACTCCTTTTGTTTACAATTTTTATGAATAAATTGAATTGGTAAAATTGCACATTTGGCACTTTAACTTTATTCAAAATTTCAGTTTAATTATTTAATTTTATAAAGTATTTTTTCAGCTTCCTAACCCAAATATTATTAGTCTTAAATAATAATTTTTGGTGTCAATTATTGTTACTTTAAAAATTAAACTTAATATATCTGCATTTGATGATATGTTTTCAACATTTAAAATTTCAATGTCAACATTTTTTCTAATAAAATTAATAGTGTTAAGGTTAGAAAATTAAAAAAATACTTTATAAAATTAAATGACCAAAATAAATATCATATAAAATTAAAGGATCAATTGGATTAACCTTGACGGAAAAGTCAATAGCATTGCTAAATTTTAATAACATGAATAAAAAAAATCTACAAAAGGAGGCACTTAGTGAAAAAGAAGTACTAGTTCAGTCCTTGCGATTGGTTTCTGGCTTCGTTTACACCACAATCATGGATTTATAGTCTCCTAATTAATGCTAGCTTCCTTGAGTCAGGAGCTATGAAGATATTTTGAGGACATTTTAATGCTTCTCGGGAAATAATTAGCTGCATGTGTCACTGTAACGTCCGACTGTTTCAACGTTAATTCCCACAAGTTTGGTATGTTCTGTGCAGGCTAATGATGCCACACAACTTACCTAACTAGAAAGCCCCTTGGCATATTCTCTGACAGAGTTTAAATAGTTATTAAATAGGCTCCTCATGCTCCCTCTGCAATTGTTCGGTGCAGACGTGGAGTAATCATGTGAAACCAGATTTTTTTGTGGATGAAACACCAATTTCGTTTCCATAATTATTTTATCCATTATTTACTGACTTTACTTTTTTCTTTTGGGCAAATTTTTCAAAAAACATTTGAAGTGAGATTACCTATATATTTTGATGAAGTTACTTCAGTAGAGAACGAGTCGTTAATGAACAAAAAATATACATATTTTCGCTTGCGTTATTTTTCTATACCCAATCACCAAACGGCAAGATGTTTTCATAAAAGGTCTCAAAAAAAAAAATATCGACGTTATTATTTCCAAAGTTTGTATAAGTTATAGATAAAATACATGATAACAACATAAGAAATTGACAAGTAAATAACTTCATTATATGATTTCAATCCCAATATTATGCAGAGATATATAACAAACTCACTTCAAGCGTTAATTTGCTCTTCCTAACAACAAAGCATGACTACTGGATATAAAGAGTGCTGCATTTTATCCACTAGATAATCAAGCTTCCTATGAGGAAAAAACCATCAATGAACTTTAGAGATTTGCTCTGCTGTCAGAAATTGTGCAATTCTCCTTGAAATACAGTATGCTGTTGACTGGATAGTGATCATGGGATTCACGCCAACTGCAGTTGGAAGCACACTGCCATCACAGACGAACAAGCCCTCTGCTTCCCAGCTTTGCCCATTCTCATCAACTGCTCCTTCTTTCTCATTCACTCCCATTCTGCAGCTTCCCATCTGATGAGCAGAACAGTATATATTCCAATACTTACCTGGTGATAAAGCCCCCTCTGCTGGATACACATTGTCTAAGAACTTTTCCACTTCCTTTTCACTGATCCCATTACACTTCATTCTCTGCCCATCACTCCTGTGAGTTCCTACTTCAGTTGCTCCGGCAGCTATTAGAATCCTCAATGCCTGCTTCAACCCAGCCTTCATGTTCTCTCTGTCTATTGCATTCAACTTATAGCTGATCCTTCCCTCTGATGTCACTTGCCCAGAAGCATTGTCTCTGATTATTGTGATCAGATGGGCAGTCCTTGAGTAATTCAGCATCCTTTGTTTGAAGTCAAGTCCAGATTGCCAAGGGAATAATGAGGCAAAGCTTGCTGGTCCCAAAAAGGGAGTCTCAATGATGGCTCTTGTATTGGACTTGGAATCACTTGATGATTGCACCTTATGGACCGATGTGATTATGCCTCCCTCGTAGACTTTTCCTTTGAATTCTGAAAAGTTGTCTGGGAAGTATCCCCAAGCCATTAGAACAGGGTGAAGGTGAAGGTTTCGCCCAATGTTCTTGTTCTTCAGCCCACTAGAGATCATTAGAGGAGGTGTCAAAAGAGCCCCGCCTGCAGAAACTGTCACTTTGGCCTCAAACTCCAGCTTCATTGTGATTCTGCTGCTTAAAGCTTTTGCCATCAATCCTAAGCATTTCTTCTTCCTGTCACTTCCAGTCTTTTTACCTTCCAACATGAACCTCTCAGCTTTGCATCCAGTAACAATTACCGCCCCATGATCCACAGCATCTACAAGCCATGTAAGTTGGGTTCCTTGTTTCTCTCCTCTTGGACAGCCATAACCACAAGAACCACAGTAATGATTCCCAGATGAGTTTCTAGGAACATAATCAACTTTCAAGCCAAGATTTTGACACCCTCTTCTGAGGACTTGATTCTGAAAACCCTCCTCCGTACAATTCTCAGTGACTCCAATCCTTTTACACACAGATTCCATTGCAGACAAATACTCGGGGCTTGAAAAGAAGGAAAGCCCATGGCTCTCAGACCATTCACTAAGCACTTCAGGTGGGGTCTTAATGGAAGCAGACCAATTCACAGCAGAGCCACCTCCTACAGTTGATCCTGCAAGAAGCAGGATTCTAGAGTCCACAGAAGCAAGGATCCCTCCAGTTTCATACATTTGATCCATGGAAGGGCCTTCAAGGGAAGAATAATCCTTGGCTGTGAAGTAGTTGCCTTTCTCAATAACAACCACCTTGTGGCCTGCACTTGAAAGAGCAGCAGCAGCAACTCCCCCACCACTACCGGACCCCACAATCACTACATCACATTTGACCCTCAGGGTGTTGCTTCGAGAGTCCAGTGTGACATGGAGGCCTTTCTCAGCCAGAGATTGTTGCAGAGTTGAATCAGACTCACAAATGGTTTCTATGATTCCCTTCTGAAGAGGCCTCGTGTCAGAGTCATTGCTTGGTGTCCCATCATCTGCAGGCACCTCATATCCAATAGCTTTCCATGCTGGGTTGTCACCATTCTCATCAACCTGCAGGAATCAAAGGCATTTAGGATCTTGAAGTGGTCAAGTAGTGAGAGGAGTGGCGTAAGATAATGAAATTAAATGGAAGGAGGTTTAAGGATACCCAAGAGAAGTAAACGAAGTGGCATAAGACTTTGATGTAAGCGAAAGCGAGCCTGATAGGAGTAAGGAAGCGATGCTGGAGCCAGCACTGCAGAACCTTCTCTCTTTGGTGCAAAGGGATGTTTGAGAAATTGTTGAGGAAGGGCCATTTCCCACTGAGACACAGAGACCCACACAGCAACAAAGTCCCTAGCCTTGTCGAAAGCAGCCATAGAATCACTCTTACCAGTATCAGTGCCTCTATCAAACCCCTCTTCGCTAACGTCTCTGCAACCTGCTCTCCTTACAAATCCTAGTTAGTGTATAACAATAGTTTGACTACAATAATAAGCGGGAATATTTTTTATAGTAAAAAGGTGGGACTAACATTTTACAATATTTATTATGGTTCTGTGACTATTATGTAAATTAGTTTTTCTTTTTGATTATGTTTTTATTCTGTGAACAATAAGATAAGAGAGAATTTAGAAATGCATAATTCAGTTCTCTATAATTTTTTTCAGTGAATTTATCTTCTCTTAAGTGAGAATTACTGACATAAATCTCAAAGTAATGGTGGGTGTGGTCATTTAGAATTTCCAAAAACAAAAAAATAAATTGACCAATATTGGTCCTCTTTTTTGGTAATTTTTTTAGACACCAGATGACCCCTTAAGTACATAATTGTTGTTTTTATGAATAGGCCACCAACTCACTCACATGCATGTTGGTGTAGTACTTAACAGATAGGCGAATTGAATTGACTGGGGCATAAAATATTGGCAGATATGAAATTGAAACATTCACACTCAAGATGTTTTCAAGTTGAATGCTTTTTGACTTTTTTAAGAACAAAAAAAAAGAGTAATTATTTATTATATTTGGAGGTTTTCAACACTTAACGTCTTAATCACTAAGCAAACCCTTCCTCATATTTGCCACGTAGCTGTAAAAAGTGTAAGTTGCTAAAATCAAAATGCATCAGATTGTTAATTACGAAATAAAGTTTTGGGAGTTTAGGCCATGAACTGTGGGTGGTAATAAGTATAATATATGGATCCTAATTTTTCATTGTTATTTTCCTAGAAAAAATTGATTATATTATTAATAGACATACCTGCGTTGCAAAGGCTCCAACTTTAAATTAAATTGAAATCTCATAAAAGAAATACAGGGTACCGCAAAAGAAAACGACCAGAAAAAGAGAAAAGAAAAAGGTGTATGAAATTAATTTTTCTTTCACTTCGATTAAAAAAATAATAGAACCAAAATTAGATATTGGAATCCATAAATTAATAAGAATCTTTCACAAAAATTGAAACAAGAAGAATCTGACATTAAAGGACATTGTTTTTTAACACGAAAACATCCGTAAGCTATAATCGACATGTTATTTACAACACTCGGTTTTCTATTGGCAAAATGATGGTTAAAAATCTTGTAAGAATATTAATGATAATTAAAAATTTTAAATTATTAAAATTTTAATAATACACTACAATACTTACTTGCATTAAATTATCTTTTATTAATTTGCTTGAAATTCATAATGAACTTTAATAAATTTTCAACTAATATTATAAAAATTTTCAATTATTTTTGTTAATTTTTCAAACAATAGTAAAAAAATTATAAATAATTGGCTTACAATTTACAATTAATTTTTATAAATTTTTAACCGATATTACAAATAATTTTAAATATATTTAATATTTTTAAATAATTTGTTTATATATTGAAAGCACAAAAATTATAAATAATTAGTTTATAATTTATAACTGACTCTTATAAATTTTTAATTAATGTTATAAATAATTCAAGTATATATTCTTGATTTATTCGATAATTTATTTTTATATTAACAGTAAAAAATTGAGATTATCAACTAATTTTTTTAAATTTTCAACTGACATGAAAATAATTCCAAATATAATTGATAGATTTTTTAATTAAATATTCACATTTTTAAATAGTTTTTTGTTGTAATTAATGTTTTTACAGAGTTCTTAATTGTCATTTTCCCTTCTCTCTCTCTTTTCATCTGTGAAATTAACACGCAGTCATGTTAAAACTTACACGGCAACAGTCTCGTGTCATGCATGGCCTGTGTTTCTAATAGCAGCTAAACGGACTTTCAGAAAAAGAAGAGGGAGAAGACAAGAGAAAGAGACGAAGAAATTCAGCAGACCAGAAACCAAATAGAGCTTCCTTTTTCACATAACATGAAATAAAATGTTTTGGAGGGGCGATCAATGAGCAGCAAGGTACGCACCTCATGAGGGATGGGAAAGCGAGAAGCAGACGAGGACCAGAAGGACGAAAGAGGCTTTGAACGAGTCTGAGTGCGAAGAGCTTCCAATGGCAAAGATGGCAACACAACTTCACATATGCTTCCCAGTGACTTCATTTCCCCTTCTGAGAACCCATGCCTGTATTTCCTCTCTCCTCTTCCTCCTCTCAACAATGGATGACAGCTACTCTCTCTCCTCATCTCTCTCTCTCTCTCTCTCTCTGCTGTGCTAATCAATATCGTAACGCATGCGTGTGCTTCTATATATAAATAGTACTAGAACTCTGAAGAAAGAGTGGTTAATTATATCGATAAATAAGGATGGTTGGGAAGAAAACGAAAGAAAGTGATGGGATTCCCACTTGTGAAGGGTTGTGTAAACCAGACTAAGTTTACTAAGGGAGAAAGAAAGCCATTCTGGTGCTACACATCATAGCGCCTTCGTTTGAGTTAGGTATGATCAACGATACACAAATTGAGACAAGTGTACAAATATAGTTAAATCGCGCACTCCCCTCCTTTCCCTGTCACAGTACACTTTTTAAAAAGATTCCTAATTTAGCCCTTAATAAAAAAATACTTAATAGAAGTATTATTTATGTTTTTTTAATCTTAGACCCCTATTTAAACTTATTACTCATGAGAGAGAATATAGAGCAAATTTGAAAATTTTCTATTTAGATAGAAATATAATTGGAATTTTATTATATTTTAAACAAAAAATAATAATTTAACCTCTCTAACATTCTAATGAGACAATTAGAAATGTTCTGTGATAGGTAGAGGAGTAGCACTAATGACCCAGTGTGTGAGGGGTTAACTTTAAATGATGATATACTTTGGAATTTGACCAAAAGAAGCAAGAGACGGAATGTGACAATCCATAAAAGTGCTAATTAACCTTCATCCCCAAAAAAAAAATTGCTAATTAACTCAGAGGGCGGGGCCCCATGTTAGGTGGCTTGACTAAATCTTCTTTGACTATTTAGCCAATCCTACATAGCTACCAACTATTGTACTCCCCTCAATTTTATTTGTTAGAAAAGTTTTATTTCTTATTTTATTTCATAAATAAAATCATATATCCTAAATAATATTTATTACAAGTTTTTTAAATTATTTTTCATAATTTACATCAATAAAAAATAATTAATAAATATTTATATTGATTAATATAAAGTATTTTAGTCTAATTTTTTTATTTTAAAACATAATTATCATAGTTAATTATTCTTTTAAAATTGTGTGATGTAGTTTTGTTTATTAACGTGTGCCTCATGTGACTCATCTGCATTTTGACTCCTCCTTAGAGTAGGCCCACAACACAATTCAACAATTTTTTCTTTCAAAAAAAATTTGTTATGCATAATGTTTAAACCTTAAATTTGCTAATTTTTTTTTAAACATGTCAATGCTAGTTGTCTTAGTGACAGTAAAAAAAATTTTAGAAAAATGATGTGATCAATGTATAAAAAATGGCCAAAAAATGTAAGAGAGAACAGAACAGACAAGATGCAGTTAAAAATAATTTTCCTACTTTTTATATAAAAATAACCGAACGATACTAGTATTAAATATTAAATGAAGTATGACAGTAAGTATAAAATAAATATTAATTATATATTAATTATACAAAAAATTATCTCGCTTTTCAAGTGTAATATATTTAGATCCGTTCTTCTGTATAAGCAAGCCTCCTCATGCCCATGATATTCCTTTTTTAAAATTAATTTTTAACGGAAAATTAGATATAATTTTGAAGGCAACTTTGGTACATGCTACTTGTTATTGGTTATACAAAGATACAAGCGTACTTTTTTCTTTTGGGTGAGAATCACATGCGACTGTGCTTTTACGGGTCATTACACATTGTGATGTTTATATCCCACAATTAAGTAATAGGATTATGAGAAGAGAAGGCTCCTACGCGGGATAAAATGTGATGGACAAATTTGAACGATATGAATTCTTCATCCATAAGCAAAATATCTCTCTCTGGAGGTATTTTCCCAGATAAGAAAGTGTCATTTTAGCTTTAGGTTTAGAATATCCATTGATGACGAAATCATTCTTTCTGGCGTTTGTTTAATTAATATATAGAATGAAGGAAAAATAATAATAAATTTCTTTTAAAGTATATAAATAACAACTTGATCCTTCAAAATATTATCATTTTATTAAAATTTTTAGAGACTTTTTTGTCAGTAAATTTTAAAATGAAAACATCATTTCACCTTATCAACAAATTGTGATTTATTGATTATTTTTTATAATTTTTAAATAAAAATTGTAAATAGGATTTATTATTTTGAAAACTTATTTTTTTAATAATAGAAATTATATGAATAAAAAATTACCTTAGCCTTTGCTCAAATGAAAAATTACCCAAAGTTAACATACACTCAACTTCAAAGACATTGTCACTCATTAGCCATAACTACTTAGGAAATCATTACTTACATGACATCATCAGAAAAATCAAAGATTTCACTATGAGGAATTAGGTGATCACTTTTAATCATGTTTATAAAGAAACAAATTAATACACTAATCTTAGCTAGCTAGACATCTCGTGACAACTTTAATATTACGATCTTCTACGAACTCCTGCACAACTGTAAAAAAAATTAAAATTATATTTGATAAATTATAATTTTTTATTTAACTTTTGCGATCTACAAAAAAAGTTGTTATGTAACATATTGAACTTCAACCCTTAATTTGAAGTTTAGGATGTTACATATTATCCCTTAAATAAAAGTTATGATTGAAGGTTTATTTTTTAATAATAGATATTACACTTAATAAATTATGATTTTTTGTTCAACTCTTGTGATTTATAGAATAAAAATTGTGATTGGGCTTATTATTTTCAGTAAGGATAAAATAATTTTTTTACTTTAAAATTTATTGGCACAGACGTTCTTAGGGACTCAATTGAAATTATAATATTTTAAGATACTAGATTATCATTTATATAATTTGAAAGAATTTTATTATTATTTTTCTTATAATAAATATCAATACTTTCCTTCCAATCTTGGGGTTGAAACATAGGACAATTTTAAGTGCTTCATAATGATAAATGAAGGTAATTGAAAGTGGTTTAGCATATCATTAAAATGATATAAAAAATATCACTATTTTTTAAGATTACCAACAATTAAAATTAATCTATTTTAATTACATTATATAATTAATAATAAGGAGATCGAAAAAGAATACTATTACTTAGGAAGTCATGCATTTTGGATGAACACAAGTTGATAAAAAATCTTATATTTTAAATAGCAAACAGTGCTGTTAATTTAGGGTTTATACCTTACAGTCTCACACGGACACATACAAATCTTATTTTTAAAATTAAATTGTGCCTCATACTTTTAGATGGGACATAGAATATGTAATTATTTGATTAATTGAGGGAGAAAGAAAATAATTGAACAAAAAAATAAATTAATAAATAACATAAATAACAAAAGTACATGAATGATAGAGATTTGCTCAATATTCAACCAAATGTGCATCCATCTCTATTAAAAATGTTTATTGGTATGGGCATTAATCTCTAATTCAATAATTATAAAGGCACCCACCTAGTAATGCTAAGAATAGAGTACTAAAAACATGTTATGAAAATAGAGATAGAGAAAAGAAAGAAAAGAAAAAACTATACTGAAAATAAGAAATGAAGAGGTTTCTTATTTCAATTGTAAAGTACAACTGAGATGTCTTCTATTTATAGACATAAATATATCAATTAAAGTAAATAAATATATCAAATAATAATAATTAAAAAATATTATAGTAATAGAGAGATATTGAAAAATTTGAGATAATAAACATACACATAATTTCTTAATATTCATAACAAATTTGTTTATATAAGGACCTTTTCTTCCACTTCATCGAATGCTGGTCTGTAAAAGAAAACGGTCATTGGTTACTACAGGGATAATCATGATTAGTATGTATGTATATGCTCTCTTCTTATACAAGCAAAACTTTCATACGATTTCTTGTGTTTTTTTATAAATAAAGCACTAATTTTCAAGAATTATTTCTGACATTATTTTTTAAATTTTTATTTATTAAACGATAATAGTATTCAATTAGCAGACAAGTTAAAGATTAATTATAAGAGCATCTTAGTCCAAAAATTTTAATTTCAAACATAATTATTAGAATTAACTAATTTTTAAAATTGTATGAGTTAGTTAAAATTTATTTATATTGAGTACAATGGAGTCCATACTCAAGAAGAATTTTTTTTTTAGTATTTTATAAAGTGCAAGGAGTCATGAGATACACTCTTGTAACTTGGAATAGAATAGGATGAGATACTATCTTGAATAGTAGCGCATATGTAAATCCTCATTAAGCAAGCATCTCTTTTTAATATCATATCATTAAATATTTTTTATATCTGAAGCTTTAATTTCTATTGGGCCTACTTAGCTCGGCGGGTTTATATGCCAAACACGTCCCAGGTTTGATATCCACATCATCTGTATACTATTTATCATCTCCTTATCCTCATTATTGTAAATTCTTCCTCCGTTTAAAAATATAAAAAAAATTTAAAGAGTTAGATATTTAAAAATTTAAAATATTTTTAATCTTTTAAGGTGTAATTATTTTTTTTTAAAGTGTCCCTATTGATAATAACTTTATATTTAATATAGGGTGTTTAATATGAGTAAAAATAAAAAGATAGGGTTAGTTTAAAAATAACTAACTATTTTATTAAGGGATAAAATTTAATTAAAAATATTTTATATTTTTAAACGGAGAAAGTAACTATATATATAGAAGGGGTAAGGGAAAAGAGAAAAAAGACCAAAACCTAACGCTGCATGGGAGTATTTAATGGCAATTTATCAAAACCAAACTCATTTATTTGAGGACCCATGAGTATTAATTGTAAGGCCACTGCAACAATATATACAATGTAACTAAACTAACATTTTTGGCCTTTCTTTTTCTTTTTTTACTTTTTTCTTTCTGGGGATGCCGACAGTGAAAACTAATTTTTGTTAGGTATGAAAATAAAAAACTAACCCCTTTTCAATTAAATTTATTATATACACATAAACTAGAAATTGAATCCCCAACCATTTATTTAAAAGATGAAAGCATGGATCATACATGATGTGCGAAATATAATAATGAGTTGTATTGTTTATTGCTTGCAAACAATGTGATTCCTTATAGTTCTCTTTGTGTGTGGATTCTTTGTAAATTTTATATCTATTATTGAAAATTTAATTTGTCCTAGGTGAGAAAATTAAATTTATATAAAATAATATGATAAAATAAGAATTATACTTATTTTTTTGGTCTGCCATTCAAACTTGCAATGTGTAGGCTGACTGTGCAGCACACTAACCAACAAGTTACACGTTTTCATGGCAAGAATTATATTTATTTGCGCATGGGAGACGCACAAAATCACGTTTTGCGCTGTACATTTTTCATGTTTATAAATATTAAGTCATGCTCGTTTCTGTACACTTATATACTTCCTCCGGTCTAAGACGCTTTTTAAAAACAATCTTGTATTTAGAATGTAAGAAAATTTATAATAATTAAATTATTTTTTAAATTTTATTCATTTTTATTAACATAAAAATGTTTAATGTAGTTATATTATTAAATAAAAATAAAAATAAAAATAAAAATGTATCTCACTTTTTTATAATATTAAAAAAATTAAATTTTATTAATATATATAAAACGATTGAAAATGTCATATATAATAAAGATTGGAGAAAATGTGTGTGTATATTAAATTATGCATGCATAATTTAATTATTAATCAGTAGACATCTCAGGGAGGCTAGCATATGCAAAGCAAAGTTCACGATGTATGATAAATTAATTTTTAATTAGTAGTCATCTTAGGGAGGCTAGCTTTGAGGTACAAATACATTATAAAAGCAGAGTAATTAAGATGGTACGTGGGAAGTGATCAAATTTAAAAGAAGAAGAACGAGGAAAATTCTTGAGTGTTTAGTGTATGTAATAAATGTTTAATAACTTTGGTGCAAATAATAATCCCTTCATTAAAAAAATATAAATAATTTGTAACTGAATCTCACTCTTAAATAAAATAATTATTTATTTTTAAACTAATACTGTCTTCTCATATTTATTCATTTAATAAAGTGCTGTACTTTAAAATAAATATAATGTGATTTACTTATTAGGATCACTTTTAAAAAAAACACAATCGTTATACTTTAAAATATTAAAAATATTTTATATTTTTTAATATTCAATCTTTTAAAAAATATTTTATAGTGGGAAAGTTTTCATTTGTAACGGTGATTAATATTACACCTAAAAACTAAAAGAAGCAATAATTGAGCGATTTGGTTTTGAGACTCGTGGTAATAGTTAAAGAAATAAAAAATGAGTCACAAAGCAGTTGAGCGATGCATACAAATTTCTTTATGGTAGGTCATATCATGCAACAAGAGAGTAATTGCAAAACATGGATTTAAAATGAGGATAAATAAATAAATTATCCTTAAATTTTAGATTTAAATTTAATAGTATCATAAATTTTAAATTTTTTATTATGTAAATCGTTTCCGAAACTTTTCAAAAATGTACAATCTAACTTTTATTATTAATAAAAATTAACTTTAACTATTAAAAAATAATAGAAAATAATTTTAAAAAATTATAAACAATTATTAAAAAATTGTTATCCTTTTTTATAATTTTTTAGGTCTTTGTCTGTCATTATTAGGTCAAATGTATAATTTTTTTGTGCAATTTTTTAGGTTTTTTTGTTATTTTTTTGTCAACTAACAATTAAAATTAAATTTTATTAATGGTAGACACCAAATTGTATCATTTTTAAAAGATGAGAGAATAATTTTATAATAAATAAGTTTAAGGTTTATGATTCTATTTGGCTTAAAATTTAGTAGATAATTTGATTATTTACTATTAAAATTATATAAATAAATAATTAAAAAGGTCTTTTCTTGGGTAACCTGTTTCAAAAACGTTGGGAACAAATTCTCCAAATGGAGGATTTGAATGCTTCCCTTGGTTTCTCTGCACGACTGCACGAGAATTTGCATTGTTTTTAGATTCCAATCATACTGTAATTACTCCCTTGGTTTTTATATTATTTAAGCAAGTTTTAGCAAGTTTATATGATTTAATAAAGTTAGTTAATTTTAATAATTACATTTGAGATTAGAAGTTTAAAACCAAAATGCCCTTGTAATTAATCTTTGGTAATTTTAGCCAGCTTATACAATTTAAAAAATCTGATTAATCTTAATAATGATACTTGAAATTAAAAATTTAAGAATAAAATGTCCTTGTAATTAATCTTTAATATTAGAAGGAATTGAGCGTGTCGTAAAAACAATGACTTTATTAAGGACAATTTAATAAAGATTTCATAAATACTTTTTTAAAATTTATTATTTTACTTATAGAAATCACATGAATGTTTTGCTTATATATACAATCAGAGGAGTAGAACCTTGGTGGCAGACATTGCAGCCAAATGGAAAAAATTAGGCCATCATTTTATCCAAGAAAAGAAAAAAATAAAGGGTTTTGGGGGGGGGGGGGGGAATTCTTTTCAAACAAGGATCAATAACCAATTGCATTCATTTGTGAATATCATGAACAGATGAAGTGAGAACTGGGAACTCACTCACTTGGTCTTTTCATAAGGATGTGAAGAGTGAAAACTAGGATCAATAATCAATTCATTCATTTGTGAATACAAGTGAAAGAAGCAAGTTAAAATACAGCAATGTTAAGTGCCAAAAAGTTGTTGATGAATAAATTAATTATCGTGGAGTCATTGGCGCAGCAACATCTTGAATCTGACCCAGATAGATGCTGAAGTAATTTTTACTGTTCTGTTTTTAAATATAAGAGAAACTTTATGTTTCTTTTTGTTTTTATTTATATGCACAATGATAGGTTTCAAAAAGAATATGTCACATTTTTAAATTTTTTTTCACAAAGTCTATGCTTATTTTCATTATACAAATTTATTTTTATTAATTGCAGGAATAATTTAATTCATTTTTAAATTTTCAGACATAACCATTACACTTAATTAACTTTCTTAAACTATGTGAGTTGGTTATTTTTTACATCTACTTAGAGCAAAATATAAGGCATTGGTAACTAATTTATAATTTATAAAAATATTAGTTTTTTTTTTCAAGAACAAAAAATATCAGTTGCAACCTTAAATTTCTTTTAAAAAAATAATATCTTTTCAGTTTTACTCTCATTAAATATCATATATAAATATTTTGGTAATGATAATAAAATTTTATGTATTATTTTTTTAAAAAGAGTAATCAATAAAGTATGAGTTAGTTGAAAAAATAATTATAAAAATTATCAAATATTTTATAGTTTGAATTAAATAAATTTTTTAAAAAATATCCTATATTACAATTTGGTGAGAGTATTTAGAAACCGAAGGAGTAGTAGATAAGGGAAGAGGCCATTGTCTGTTCAATCGTCACTCTGCGAACCAACCCTCTAAATCTGCAAAGCCCGTTCGTGGTTCTTTGATGGAGCTCCTTATTTAATAATGCTCTTTAAAAAAACGAAAAAACAAATTGGACGTTTATAGAGGTTGACAGCTTATAAATAAGGGAAAACAATTTGAGAATGATGGAAGATGCAATTCTCTAGTACAATTCACGGTTCTCAGTTTCTGAGCCTTGATTAATGCTAAAAGGTTGTTGGAGTGCTTGTCCGTGTGTTGGGTTTGCTTGTCTCCACATTTCTCAACTCTCAACAACTTTATCCTCATATTTAAGCTGCAAAACTGACCCAACTTTAATTTTTTTGAACTGACCAGTACTTTCCCTTCCAGGATTAAGGAAAAAGAAGTTTAATAACATTTCCATTATTTGATCCTTAAAATAGTTTACTATTTACTATTATTCCCTCCCTTCAATATTATAAAATGCTTTTAATTGAATTACATCTCAATAAATTAGTGAATTATTATTAAAATTATACTCATTCCATATTTATACCTATTTAATAAAATATTTTAATTATAAAACATCATCAATTACTCTCTCCATAAAAATATAAGATATTTTTTAAAAATTAAATATTTAAAAATATAAGATATTTTTAATTTTTCAAAATGTAATTATTGTCTTTTTCAAAAGCATCTCTATTAATAGTAATTTTATATTTATTATAAGATAGTTAATAAAAATAAATATAAAAAGATAAAATTAATTTAAAAGTAAATAAGAACTTTATTAAAAATAAAATTTAATTAAAAATATCTTATGTCTTTTAACGCAAGGAGTACATTTCTAATTAAAAATATTTTTGAAAAATTCATTAATTTGATTTTGAAAGACTTTTCAACACCTTAACAAACATTAAATGAGAAACAAATTTGATAAAAACATGTTATATTTTGACATATTTATTGCATTAGTTAATATTTATGTAATAATATTTAAAAATTCAAATATAATTAAATCAAGAAAGTAATTGTTTTGCAACTATGCGCTACTTAACAAAGAATTTCAGGGCGCTCGTGAATTCAAAAAACACATAAACACTAGGTCTAGTCTTTCAAAGCTTGCACAAAAAACATCCATATATTTTACAGCATCCCCTCCAATCCAAAACCTAAATTTAGCAACTCTAAACAGTATAGTAGGGAATTTAACTTCACTTGACTTATTAGGGGGGAAAGGGAAGCAGCAAAAGCAAATGCTTTCTGAATCCCCAAGTAGATTTCTCTTTGTAACATGAGAAATGCACCAAAACTACGAGAGCTGCTTCCACATAGCTGGTCGATCTCTTGATATGAGGAGAGCACGAGAGCCCAAATAATCAAAGGAAGGCCAATACAAGTTATCTGGGCCAATGACTTGGTTGACCCTCTGAGTGTTTGTGGAATCCATATTGAAAGCTCGCACGGGATCATCTTTCAGTGCATCAAACACAAACAATCCAAGCCCACAGACGCCCATAACGAAGTTAGAGTTTCCCCAAACCTGTGTAACTGCAGAGTGGTGGGAATGTGCATTGGATTCTGGCAGAGCATAGCTGCTGAAGAGCCCTTGTTTGCGCAATGAGAATTGTTGCACCATCGACGAGGACTGCTTCTTGCCAATGGAACTTGAAGTTGAGCAACCGAGAAAGACGGAGTCTCCTCGTGAGAAAATTGACTGAACATTCACCCCATGTTTTGATATCCGGAGACCCACACCAGATGGCTGGCGGAAGTCCAGGACATTAATAGCGTCTGAAGTGCAGAACACACCATCATTTCCTTCAGCTTCTGATGAGCTCACCCTGATATTATATTTGTAAACTTGGGTAACAATTGAGAATGACATTGACAAATGCATGTATCAGAAGCACTCAAGAAAACTCCGTTTTTTCCTTGATGGGAAGCGAACTAAAGTAGCATGGTAACATAGAAATATGTGGAAGGAATAAAGAGACTACTTCATGAACGCTTAGATTCAAGACAATATCAAAACAGGAACGAAATGTTAGCGAGAAGGCAAACAGATTAAAATATTTCATGGTGCAATACAAACATAGAGGCAAACAGTTTCATTGGAGATTCAAAATTGACGATATAATTGACATCAATGTATGGAACGAATAGCGTGACTTTCATAAACAATTTCATTCAAGATAACACCAAGACAATAGGAAAGAAAGGTCAACAGGCAAGGTAGCAGTGACCAAGAGATGGTAAGACAAATCACAAAGAATGTCTAAGGTTCAAACTCACCTTTGCCGAACCCCTCCACCCAGCTCTGCATCTGTATTGCTCACATGAAGAGCAGAAATTTTTGGCCCAGATGAAGGAATAGACAGCAAGGCTTGAGGACTAAGTGAGTTCACATCCCACAAAGAAATCGTTTCTGTTTCGGCTAACACAACTTTTCCTCTGTTTCTCCATTGCAAAGGGCTGGAATATTCCATTGTAAGAACGGGCTTCTGAACCTCCCATTTCATGATTTGTTCTCCATCACGAATATCGAAAACTTTTACAGCTCTCTGAGAGCTTGCAGTGGAGATAATCAGAGGTCCACAAGGTTTATACCACCATTGCCTAGCTTCAGTAGCCAAGTTGCCAGATCCAGAATTTCTTCTCTGCACAACGTTATTGGCCAAGGGTCGAAGTGCAGTCCTTGAGGTAGCTGTTCCAAACTCTAGTTGGAAAGCGCGGAGATCCTTGGTGTAAAAATCCCAAGAGCAAAATCCCGAATCCATAGTATTGCCAGCAGATGCAGCTATGACAAACCTTCCTGAGCAACCATCAGAACCAGGAGCTCGAATTATCCAACAATCTCTCCACATATTAGGTGAAACTCCAGATGGTGGCATATATAAAGCCTTCTCCTGGAAAGATAGTAAACTGTGAGCAGGTGCACTGCATGTTTAAGCTCATTGAAAGTATTCGAATCTATATGCATAATTCGTTATGAAAATGTAATCGAAGACACAAACTGGCTTCAGGAAAAATATAAATATGGTACAGAGATATTTGATCATTTATTCAATTATTTAATGAAGTATATGGAGTAACAAAATCATGTAACTGAAATATGAACTACTGGTATCTCAGAATCGATAACGGCTTATAAACATAAAGCAAATTAAGAAGTAAACTTTTGAACTCAATTACGGAGCACGCATAGCATAGTATCTACTGCCTACATTATACAATATAGACTTGTAATTTGTAACAGTTTACATACCTCACGATTCGCAATGTCATAATATGAACACGAACCATCATCATGAGCAATGAGGACAGCCTCCCCTTCAGACACAAACCAGCCTCCCACGGCCGTTTTATTTCCTATACCATTCAGTGAATAAATGAAATCATCTTCTGTCTCTTCATCAATATATAGCCCTTGCCTGCTCTCCTGATCATCAAACTCTTCAAGCTTCTCATCAGTTGTAAGAAGGAGCTCAACATCACACTTTTGATTGAAGGTGGAGGAAGAGTCTTTTGTTTTAGCAGAGTCATCCGTGCCTGTTTCTTTAACTCCACAATACTTCATATCAGCTTTTCCATCTGTTGATTTGACGTTAGTTGCCCCTTTATTAAGGTTAGCCAAGAACTCTTGTGCTATCTTGCTCTCTTCAATAGGGCTTAGCACTTTTCCTTCGACCATTGCTGAAATATAATGTTGCTTTTTCATGGATTCATTGCTTAAGCAGTTTTCCGACGATGCTTTATTCGATGTTCGATTCTGAAGTAACCTGCGATGGGGAAATAATCTAGCTTCCAATTCCTCGCTGTTTAATTCTTTGACCCCGCGTTTACCCTTGTCAACTTGCTTATTTTGGCTATCAAAAACCACATTAGGTTCCTTATCATCATTTACATTGCTTTCCAAGAACCCTATTTTAGCATTTGAATCACCAGCTACGTGATCTATTGCTTTCTCAATACCTGAGATTTTGTCTTGGATATCTGAAAGTATGATCTTTGATTGATCAGGGTTATTCAAATCCAGCATCTCCTTGGTCCTCCTAATATCTGACGCTATTCTCTTGACCTTTCCTTCTAGAAAAGCAAGCTTCTCATGAAGCCTGCTAGGATATTTACAAGTAACTCCACCACTGGCACATTCATTTTCCGATTCCTTCTGTTTTGGAATTTCCAAAACCTTGGCTTTACTAGCCGATTTTCCACCAACTTCAATAAAACATGAATTTATATCATTGCAAGTCTTTTCCAAACCAGTAGAACATTGCCCTCGGTGCCCACCAGCACCGATATCGGTCTGCTTTTTTGACTCAGATTCAGAATTAACCTCCTCACCATAAATCTGCAGATCTCCACTATCTTTAATTACACTTGATTTCGCGAAAGATTTATTATTTTCACTTCCCCCGGCTTTGCTTTCTATTACTCCGCCATTTCTACTCTTAATCTCTGAATGCAAACTCTTTGCTGCACTTTCGTCAGTATCCCCTCGAAATTTTGCTTTACTGCCAACCTGCGCGCTTCCTTTGATGCTCGAATCTCGATATCCTTTTGCCTGATTAGCAACTTTCAGGCCCCTGCTCCCACTGAAAGCAGAGCGATCAGGTTCTGCGACAGGCCCCTTAACAACCCGATCCACGGAACACCTATCTTTTCGGGTATCCGATAACACCCTAGTAAAATTAGAAGGGCTAGAGCTCCTACCTCGAGGGACAGACGACGTGGACTTCCGGTCACGGCTCTCAAGTCCGCTTCCTACCCCCGCCAGCGATGCCTTGTCAACGCGGGGCAGGGATCGAACAGCAGGTCTCTGAGTCGCGGCCGTAGCAGCTCCACGTGACGTGGATCTCCGATTCTCTTTCTCAGCAGACAATTTACGGAGAGCTGCGGCGCTAGGGATTTTGTCGGAACTTGAAGCAGGGGTTAGAGATTTGGAAGGTCGACGAGCGGCGACTTTGACGGCGGAGGCGACTCCGTCGTCTCCTCCGTTGCGGTCTTTCATCCGCCGAGTGGATGAGGCGAGCATGGGGAGTTGAGGTAAAAATAAGAATTAAATTACTGTGGAAGAGATTTTTGGGCAAACAGGAAGAAGAAAGTGGCCGATTTTCACTGAACGAGAGGGAATGACGAAACCCGAAAATTGAAAGGGAATACCTACGCGGCTTTGATGTAGGCGGGAAATAATTGAAATTTTTGAGTTTTGAAATTGGCAACTGAGTTGGCCCAGAAAAAATAAGATTAAGGTGTATTTTTGATTAAATTATTTTTTGTGTAACACTCAGTATTTTAAATTATTTTTTATAATAATTTTATTTTTAAAATAATTAAAACATAATATATTTGGTTTTGACATTATATATCCCAAGATTAATGTTAAAAATGTTAAATGAAACTTAAGTTTTGGCCAAACATATCACCTGTTATATCAAGTGTATTAAAATACATTTTTTCTTTTGAATTGTTTTTTGTAGAGCATCCATATAGTATCCTAAACTATTTATATTGCAGCAAATTTACACTTTAATTTGAATCCACTTAACATGACGTGTATCCTCATTAGTATTTTTCACGATCAACATTGAGGTATTTAACATTTTAGACAAATATACTATATTTTAATTACTTTATAGATGAAATTGTCACAATAAATAATTTAAAATATTATATACTCCTCAAAAGATAGTTTAAGTATAAAAATATACCTTGACTCCCCAAAAACAAAAATGATAACTAAGCAACACAAAAAAAAAAAGATTAATTAGGTTGAGTTATACTTCCGTCAAGCCTATTTATAAATCACTTTTAAACATTTTATAAAAATCAAGAAGAGATAGTTAGCTTATTGATAAAGAAAAAAATTCCCAATTTATCTTTCTACCAAAAAAAAAACTTTCAATTTATCTTTATTAAATGCAACATTTTTAAAAACACATTTTCTCCCATGCAACTTTTACCATCTATTTGTTGAAAATTGTAAAAAGGTAAAATGGAAAGAAAGTGATTAACGATCAATTTTTTTATGTAAAATAACTTATAAAAAGAATTAAATTTTTTTAAAAAATAATTTATAAATAAAATTGAAAAGAATATTATGAATTATTAATTAGTTATAATGCATCACAATAGTAAACTAGAATTCATCCCCGTCCGACACACAAGATGTGATGTTTTTAAGATGGCATGTTTATGATAATGAATTATATGAATTAGAATTGAGACGAGTGGGTGGATTTAATAATGAAATGCCTAGTAGAACTGTAGAAGGGTGGTTGCCATGACACTATGATGGAGATTGAGAGACGGTCACCCATTGTCACCTCATATATTCATTCTTGTTGCGGAATGATTAATTTGTATAATCAATAATGCTGCTGAAATTGGATAATTGAAGGGAAACAATTCATTGTTCTATTTAACATAAATTATTTTAAATTTGGTTACCAGTTTACCACATACATATTTAAAATATAAACAATAATATAGTATTCCATAACATATAATCTTCGCATAAATTAAAATTCAAACAACAGTGACAGTGTGCTTTATTTATAATTTTGTATGCTATTTATATTAAAATGTAAATAATAATTTACTTTATCATAGAATCTTTCACCCCATTCAAATTAAAATCTAGTTAAAATTTAGATAACAACATATTTTATTTTATAAGTTTTATCGGGCACAAAATAAATCTTTATATAAAATCTATAAATTATCAAAAGATCATTTGTTTTTAATTTTAAACAAATGGCCGCTAAGAGTCTCACATTAATCTTTTTACTGTTTATATAACTATTAAAAATATTATTTGTTTGTACAATATATCGTTATACTTTTTTTCTAATATTTTTGTCCACCGATTCTCTCTTTTTAATCCCTTCTTTTCTTGTCTTTCCATTTGACAATAGATGGGGAAAAAATTTTGCCCCACTGTCACTGCTCAGAAAAGCGTAGATCAATGGTGACAATTATTATACTGTACACGATGTTATTGGTTTATACCTTTTCCTTTAGGGTGTCTAATTTCATTGTATCTTCTTACTGAATTTCAAAATAATATCAATAAGCAAGTTAGCAGTTCTGCAAATTGTCATGTTAGCTAGTTAAGATGGGCAAAAAATATTTAAGTAGTTGGATTGACTCACATTCAATTTTTTGGGGCTATTCTTTTTTAATATTTTTTGACAAATAATTGGGCTCTTCTCATTTTGTTATATGGGTAATTAGATAATTTAATCTTGTGTTGATTCAGTCATTAGATCCTCAGGTATATGTGGTTGCAGCATATTCTCCAGATTATCATCTCTGTGAAAACAAAATGACTATATCATTTTTCATTAATCTCATAAAAATTGATTGTCTTTATGAAAAAAATAAAGGCCTATCATCTTTACCTAACAATGGATATTTTGTTTTCAATTTTGTTCTCAGTATCATGTGTATAAAGCTGTGAATAAACTCACCGAGAGTCATTGCACGAAATTAGAATTCCAATTCTATGATAATTTTGTCCAGCTAAAGTAAGAGAATAATACCCACGACTAGTGAATGTTTTCAATTTGCCACCTATGGAAGCAAAGAAAAACATATTATTGTATTCTCTACTATTTGTCAAAAAAAAAATTGAATCATCAAAGCTATAATTAAAAAACAAATTATAGAGATACAATGGCATTTGCTCAGTTGGAGGAAGCTTAATCTTTCCATTTAAACAACAACGGGAGAACCACATAGTCCTAGATCTAGCTCCATATTTTACTTGTTTATTAAACCACATCAAAGCACCATATTCTCACAAACAAATTCAGGATCCCCTTCGTTATTATAATATACAAAAACAAATAAAAAGAAGTTAGTAAATGACAATTATCATGCTAAAAAAAAGCAATGAATATATTGTTTCAAATCCTAAATAAAGACACAAAGACGATAAGAAAAAATAACACTCACTTACCATTAAAGGTGATGGGCTAGGCAGACGCTACAACACTCACTAGTACAAATTTGGCTTTTTGTAGGAAACTTTCTATATTGGTTGCTAGGCAAATGACATAAAAAGTCAAGGATGTGACAATTTTGTAATTACTATTTTAACTATTAGATTTTTTACATTGGTTCTCTAAGGAATCAATGTAAAAAAAAAATTACATCAATTGCCTAGTTGACTGATGTAAAATATTATTAAAATTTTTAAATTTTTAAAATTAATTACTTTCCACAAATGTTTTGGTTATGACTGATATAAAAAAGGGAATCAATGTAAAATATTTTTTAAATTTTTGCATTGTCTTATTCCTCTTACATAGACGTTATTTTTCATGATTTCTCACTCACAAATGTAATTTTTTCCTCAATCTTCACCATTTTCCTTGCTCGAAATCATAGATTTTCAAGGGCATTGATCCTCCCCATCTATTCTCATCCACTTGAAACCCTCGCTGCCATTTCTCTAAAAATCTCCCTCCCCCTTCTTCATCTTCTCCATTTTCAAATGTTCTTATTCTAGTTTCTTCAACTATTTGCTCGTGTGCTGGTTTAAGGCATTGATTCCAAGCAATTTTTTATGCTTAAATTGGTAAGGTAAGCTTGTCTAATCTCATTCCTACTCTCTAATTTTTTTCTTTAAAATAGTGTTTGTAGAGTTTGTTGTTAGAGTTTTCATTTTTTAGGGATGCCCAACTAATTAGTCTGAATTTTATGGTGTTTTGAGGGTTAAATAAGTGTCATTTAGGTTGTTTTAGGTGGTTATGATAATGGAGAATTTAAATCTGAAACCCTAGACTAAGTGGATGGACTTTTATGATGATTTGAAATTATGGAGACTAAATAAGTGATATGTAAGTATAATGATAATTATGATGATATGAATTGCACTTCATATGTTAAGGATGAATAAGCTATCCAGATTTTTCTTCTTTTGCTGCGGACAAGATTCATAGCATTTTTTATAAGAAGTAAAAATGAACAAAAGCCTATTAAGTATGTTAGTTTTCCTTCTTTGTCTTGGTATTTGTTATTTAACTATGCCTATGATGTTCATTCATTTAATCACAGACTTTACACATTGCTAGCTATATTAGCAATTCTCATCATTTTTGAAATCTACAACTTATTTAGTGCAAGTGAGTTTGTTTTGATGATGTATATATATATATATATATATATATATGTTTACTTTTTTTTAGCCCAATTTTGCAATTATATTTATGTTTCCATTAAATAGGATGAATTTGCTAGCTTGCTAACTATAGTTCCAAAACATCCTCACACTATCTTTGATTTGGCAATTCATTTGTTTTTACTTCACAAAATTATAGTCATGTTCTATTAATTCATCAATGATATTTCACATTGAGCATAACTAGATTCATAGTTGAAATAAACATATTTTTGAAAATTTTATTTTATTATGTTAATGGAGACTAGTTAATTAATGTTTTTTTACAAATTATATTTCACATGTTTGACAATGCGGATTCATTCCCTAAAAAAAGAAATTAAAGACATTCATATACGTTAGACTTGCAACTTACTTTGTGGAGAGTTTGTGATTTTATATAATTGTAGGCAATTCTAATAAATTTGTTAGTTTAAGACAAGTTTTGGATACCTTAATTTTAATTGTTGCAAATAAATTATGTTGGATGGTTAATAATTTTGGATAATTAAAATGGATTGTGTTGTTTTGATGAACATTTTATATGACTTGTAATGTTTGTCTAATTATTTTTGTATATAAGGATGGGATAGTGTATATAAATATATATTATGTATATAAAAAACTATAACTGATGTAGAAAGTTGATTTTCTACATTGACTGTAACAATAACCAATGTAAAAAACTCACTTTTTACATCAATTATTAAAGTTGATGTAAAAAATTAATTTTTTTACATCAATTGTGTCTATAGCCAATATAGAAGTGAGATATTGGTTTTTTAAAAAAATATTAAATGATTTTCTATATTAATTTTAGACCCTTTTCTACATTAGTTGTAAAATTGACATAGAAAGTACCCCATGAAACAACATCTCATGTAAATTGATGTGAAAAGTGTTTTTAACCGCTATAAACAATTTTTTTTGTTGTAGTGATTGTCTATATCACT